TCGTAAACAATTGTTTACGAAGTCTATAATCGTCGACTAAGGAGAATAGGTAAGACAACAAATGCATCTATTTTGAACAGAATAGAGCGAGAATAAAAGTAAAATTGCGCAGGTATACAACTAAACATTTTTTGCATATATTATGATGTCGTCCGATTATGTAAATTTTTTACAAGATTTAAAAGCAAATATTCCTAAAATACCAAATGCACATTCACCTTTACAATATATAATAGAAAATGAATTAATATCATCTGATGGTTTAATCATTGGATGTGGTGTTGAAACAGCTGTAACTACAAATTATATAGCTAAAAATATTAATTCTAATCGTATTGTATATGGATTTGATAGTTTCGAAGGTTTGCCAGAAGATTGGACACCACGTCCAATAAAAAAAAGGTGAATTTAAACAATCCACCATACCAACAGTTGAAAATAATGTCGAGATCATAATTGGAATGTTTGAAGATACATTACCAGATTTCGTCAATAAACATAATAATGATAAAATAGCATTATTACATATTGATTGTGATTTATATTCTTCAACTAAAACAGTATTTAATTATTTAGGAAAACTATTAGGTCCAAAATCTATTATTGTATTTGATGAATTTTGGAATTATAATGGTTATGAAGAGCATGAATGTAAAGCATTTTATGAATGGTTAATAAATGAAAATAAATTAAATTCTTTTAAATGGATTGGATATTGTGGTGAATGCAATACTACTCAGTATATAAAAAAGGGAATATATCCAGATCCATTTTATGGACCTATCTTTCCACTTACTGAAAGAGTTGCAGTACAATTAATATAAAACCCACTTGATTCTTAATATCCTTTATTTTGAATGATGAATTTAATAATACAATGTTTGTTTCATTACTTATCTTTTGAATATAATCATTTCAAAATTTATCGATACGACCTTCGAAAATACATAATATTGCCAGTGGTTATTTATAAATCATTAAAAGCCTAGACAGATCAATGAGTTGAAAGCAGTAATAATGCACTTTGATCTTGATAAATTTCGGTTTATTTTGTTCTCTTGACACCATCGATCGGCTTTTTTAGTTTCTCTCTTTTCAATATATCCAATATGGAAAATAATAACTTTCGCGATCAAGCATATTAAAGAAAATTGCTCTGGCTCATATAAACTACTAAATTCTTATAACTAATTGGAAAATCTAGATCGCGATGAAGACGACGACAATCGAGAAAGCAATATTGCTGTGGATGATTTTGAATTTCATGAACATATGAATCAGGACGGTGATGATATTGACGCTGAAGCTGACAATTATGAAAAAAAGAATGAGCGAGGAAATTCGCATTACTGTTCAATGGAGAATGAAACTACAAGAATAGGAATTCTATTGGCATGTTAATAATCGTGCAGCAAACGTCATATTACACGAACAGAAATATCGAAAACTCGTGATGACACAAGCAGAGCAAAACTCCGTCTTACAAAAACTATTGATGGAAGAATGAATTAGTATGCTTCATGTTGGTCAATCTCCCGAATGTCGCGTAATAATTGCAAAAGATCGATAGATGTGAGTGCATCTGTTATTATTTTATTCAACTAGTCAGGAATACACAAAAATATCATGCAAAATTTTGTAACGTTTTCGTTTGCTTTTTCTTCCCTCTTTTCCAAATAGAACATCACGAAAAAAAATATTCGAACGAATTTTTTTGCATCTATCTCGCTCGTACGCGTCTGGTCCGAGTTAATCAATAAGAAAACGAGAGTTTCACTCAGAATACAAATAGACGGACAGGAACGGAAAAGATACTCGATGTTCGTGTCTTACCATGCGTAGAACAACTATCCAAACTACTTAGCTACTCTTTTTGGCAGAAACCATGCAACGAAAGATACGCTTCAGGCCTGCATTGCAAATAATCAGTTGCGTACCAAAGAACAAATTGGGTTATATTATCACTTCTGATGTATATTGTTTACATGGTATAACAAACATGAATTTAGTTTTGATAGATGTAAGACACTGCAATGACAAGATAGAATCAAACCATTTTGCAGAGAAAATTTATCAGATTTGTTTTTGTTTAGCTCGTCTCGAAAATGAAATTACTGGGAAATTTGAATGTATTAATTTATGGAATCGGGAAAAGTTCAGGTGGACGCGTCAGATGTGGGTATTGGTATGGGTGAAATTATTGTCTGTATCCAGCCACACCCACACTCACATCCCATAAGCACTATGTTGACATTATCCACATATTGTTAAATTCGTTATACATCAAATCTAACTGAGATTATATCTTTTCTTGAGTAGAATTCATTCGCCTTTCAATCAAATAATGGTATTTTAAATGATTCTCGTGCTGCCTGTTGTTTCTTAGCCAAATTTCGAGTAGGATGTGGGCGTGAGTACCGCTCGTCTAATACACACACCAACGTCCGACACACGCTTAGCAAAATGATTAAAATTGTAGAAAATAATTTCAAAAACAAAAAAAAGAAATAGGATTAAAAATTGAACTTGAAAAATGCAGCATTAAAGTAATTTTCAACATTATATAGATCGTGAAAATAATCATCATGATATTTTTTCCTTTAATTTTTTTCGCCATTCGTCATGAATGTCAAGCTCCTTGCATGGATGAAACACATTGTTCGGTTGCTCAAGAATATCGTCTAGTGTCCATGAAGACTTCCAATGAATGGTCTTCTGTAAAGCTGGAGGATTGCAGATACGAAGATGAGCGTGAGCAGCAAGTGTAGGAAACATAAATTCGATGAAGCCTAATTCGCCTCGATCTTTGACGAACATGTCCACTTCTGTTAAAAGACGGCGAGATGCCCCCATCATACATACTAATGCTCCATACCATGGAAGCTTGAAACGAAGACGAGGCATATCATACCACCACCAGTTTAATCCGATTTCGTCATTTGTATTGACCACGGGACTTAATGGATCGTATTGACTCCAATTTGGATTGAACTCTCCTGTTGCATTGATCATATTCTCGGCACAAATAAGATCATATGAAGAAGCATACTCATCGTTTAAAAGTCGAATACATTCAACAGAAGGAATAAATACGTCTGCAATAAGAAACACACAATTATGAGATAAAATTGCATGGTTATCAGACAATAAACAGAGGCTCCTATGAGAATTACCTTTTCTCACTGGCGTGCCTACTCAAAGCCAGCGCGATTAAATGTTCTGAACAACGTCTTACGCACAAACAAAGGTCGATTAAAAATTAGTAAAATGCATCAATTGTCAATGTAATAGACAATACAAATCAGAATAGTGGATAACATATTAATTCTAGAGATTTACTGGTGTTAGGAAAACTTGACTTTGCAAGGTAGGGTAGGTTGTTTATAGGAATTAAAACGAATGCACTTGCATGAAGACAGCCTTCAGAAATCAAAGATCTTCGAAAAAATTCAACTGTCTACTATCAAAAACTTTTCAGAAAGTGAATTTAGAGTTTTCATACTTTACAAATTTGAAAATCAATTTTTCGGATTTTCATCTTCAGAATGAGTGTTGTCCAGTCTTTGACAGTAAAAAAACACAAACTACACTACAGAAGGTGGTTTCAGCTGCTATTCAAAACTTGTCTTCTGTAGAGAATGTATTAAGAGTCTGAACAAAAATTAAATTTGTGTAACTTCACTATTTATTAAACTTAATAAACCACAATTTCTTTTTCAAATGATAAATATTACTGTGAAGTTTATATATATACGGACAAACTTCAGAGAATAATGTTTAGAGATATTATCTTCGACTGAAATAAAAAAATCGGTACTTTTTAAATTAAAAAATATCATTTCACAATGCCTCTTTTTTTGATGACTCAATTTTTTGCAGTTTTTATAACATGTTGATATTGACTAGATGTTGTGCTACCATTCATCTGCATTTGTTTTGACATGTCGCTAGAAAAAAAGCCTAATAATGTCAAGTCCAATGATTAGAAAATACATTCGATCGTCGTAACTTTTCAAACAATGACTAATAGACTAGAAAAAATGAACCAATCTCATAAGCTTCGTGGCCATCGGATTTCACGCTGCTAGGCTTTTTTTCATAGTGACATGTCAAAACAAATGCAGATAAAGGATGGTGCAACATCAGACCGGTGTAAACTTGACAAAAAGCGCAAGAAATTCAAGCGTCACAACAGAACCACTGCGAAATTTTTTGAAATTGAAAAGAATTGGTTTCCGTATTCAGCCTAAGATAAAGATGTGAGGGACTAATCCCAGTCTTGGTGGCCGCGATTGGAATAAAAAATAAAACTTTACCGTGATGGAGTCAAGACTGGAATACAAGGTTATATGATGTCCGTCACTCTGTCAGTTTTCAAATGATGCTTTTCGTACATCATAAATCAATTTATTGTTGTCATACAAAAAGAAAAGCACATCAGGATTGAAGATATATTTGACAAGTCGCGATCCTGATTCCGGTTCTAGCTACCGAAATCGGTACCTAGACCTCGGCCTCGAGAAAACTGCCAGGACTAGAACTGAAGTTTATAGTAACATACTGCATGATGTTAATCCAATTCCCTTGGAAATTATATTAATCCGAACATAGTTTTAAAAAGATGATCCTCAAAAAAAAGTGCTAGTCGTCGATAAACTACAAAAAAATCTCTAATGGAAAATGATATCTTTGAACACCATTTGTAAAGTTTGTTCGTATAGATAGAAGCTTCACAGTAGTAAAATTGGATTCGATTGTTGTAGAATCATTCATAGTAAACATATTCATATAGAGGGATACCTTCGTAACAATTTTACAAGGCAAAATTCAGTCAAACTTGGTCCGTTTTAAGAATTGGATTTGACTGAATATCAAATGTAATAAACTAAAACTTTTTCAAATGATAAATATTTTTAGTTGAATCTAGTTAAATACAATCTAAAGACTGGAATTGGGTTCGACTGGATTCAGAATTAGTGCATCCCTAAATAAAAGAATGTTCTATGACATTATGTAAACATTTTTGTTCTTGACTTCAATTAAAACGACCAGTTCGTTGATGACCGATCGATTGCCGACAGATCTCTTGATCTAGAACTAGCACTAACTGTTTGTCAATACTAGTTCTATCCTGCCCTGCTCACTTGGTTTCAACATGACAGGGTAGGCTGTGTTTTTTTCTTACACTTTATTTGTCAACATAGCAAAGCAGGGTACGAAAAAAAAATCATGTTGTAAATAATTCAGGCACTTACCATCTTCAATAAACCATACAAAATCATACTTGATATTAATGCGAGTAAAGTAGTAGATGGCTTTGTCCCATGCAATAACCAATGTATCAATTGATGGAAGTCCAACTTCATTGCGACGGTATTTATTTGTGTGAATTAAACTAGAATTCTTAAATCCTTGTTCAATGCATGTCTCCTTGTCAACTTTTAAAAATTGTATATTGGAATTGGCAATCATTTTATCGTTTAGTTCATATGTGTCGTCATCGATCATTACGTAGATGTTATTGGAAAGAGCTGGTATCTGTTCATGAAGTTGTTGAGCAATGTTAACGAGACAAGCATTGGGGTGGCGTGTGAGAAAACATAGAGCGGTCTTATCGCTTGAATTTTCGTTGATTTTTGACAAAGCTGTCGCAACTACTTCTCCCATCTGAAAATTTTATCAGAAAAAATCTGTATTACTAAGGTGTGCATAATTCAAAATTTTCGCAACTTTCTTTTTGGATTTATTTATATGGTTCGATAGACTACATTGAGTTACCTATAAAAAAGTGTCTCTCTAACTTATAAAAGCAGTTTTTAAAGTC